AATTCAGCGTATCGAAATGTATTATGGCACTTTTGCAGGCTGTATTTAAATATTTAAAGGGAGAGTTTGTAATTTTTCTTCAAAGAAATATCAATACTCCGCATTTGTCCTGTAAAAGAACATCGTTCGTATTAAAAGAGCATATTATTTGTCTCTGCAACGCCATTCCTTGAAGAATTTTTTCTCGGTTGCCCGAGAATTTCTGACGCCAGCACCATTGCCTATAAATCAAAGAACCGAAATAATGATATGGGATGACACGAAGAATCTCTTACGTACGTACAACAAAATGGCTCTACGCACACAGACGAGTTTCTCATAAGTGCAGCACTGGCAAGAATTATAGCTTCAAAAGACTCCTCTCGTTCGTACATGTCACTGACGCGTTCAGAAATGATGTCTTGATAAATGACGAGACAGATTTGGTCCTAGCAAATGAAGATGAAGTGTTTCAAATTATAGCAATTTGCCTTGGCTTTAAAGGACGCTAGCATGAGCTACACTCTTGCCAGAGAAAAGTGATATTCATATAGGTGTATGCATATAGAAATAATGCACGCATGGGAGAATGCATGCTCCCAAAGTATAGAGGGCGTAGAAAGACAGTCATTGATATATGTAATATATCGATATAAATCGTGATATATCGTGCCTCAGTTAGAGTCTGGAGAGAATATAACGTTCAGTTACACGACTTTTCAGCAGCTGTTATTATAAGCGATATATTCAATTTCATCATTTTGATGAAATGAAAATTCATATTGGCTACGACTTTTATTAAAGCTAACTCCATTCAAATGTTTCGGTGAAGTTGGTAATGATTTTGCACTGCTCATTGCATGGTTTGCACGCATGTTCGTTTTCAATAACTTTCATTAAATTTATTGTGAATTCCGAAAAAAGAGTTGTTTTAACCCTACGGAATGAAGGTTCAGTTAAGGTTTACAATAGAAACCCTTAAACTTTTTATTAAGAGTTACCCACTCATAGTCATGGAGATATTCACCACTCACAGCTCACTCAAAACTATGATGATATTCACCATTAACTAGCCCACTCACATCTATAACAGCATTCATCACTCACCAACCTACTCACTATTCAAGCAGCATTCATGACTCATGAGCGCGCTCACATCTATAACCGCATTCATCACTCACCAGCCCACTCACTATNATACGCAATATCTGGCTGATAATACAATGCGTATCAGGCCTGATATACGCAATATCTGGCTGATAACATCATGTGTTATCAGGCCTGATATACGCAATACCTGGCTGATAATACAATGCGTATCAGGCCTGATATACGCAATATCTGGCTGATAACAGCATGCGTATCAGGCCTGATATACGCAATATCTGGCTGATAACATCATGTGTTATCAGGCCTGATATACGCATATTTGGCTGATAACATCATGCGTATCAGGCCTGATATACGCAATATCCTTCTGATAACACAATGCATATCTGGCCTGATGTAGCAAAAACTGGCTGATAACACAATGCATATGCGTATATCAGTATAGAACACAATAATATACTGATATACACACAGTATAGAGCACACAGTCACAGCATAGAGCACAATAATTCTGAGAGGGCAGCATTCCTGCATAATTAAGATCGGCGTGGCGCCCACGCAGTCTGACCAGCTTACGAGAGCAGAAAAAGTCAAGCTTTATTTCAATAGCAATTAATGCTTCTATTGAATGTAATGAATAAATGGTATTTTCTCAGATTATTCAGTGTTTTTTATAAGGATTGCGTCATGAAATTTAATTTTAATTTTTATTAGGGAATATGATTACAATCATGAGGGAATTAAAAAATTGGCTTTAGTAAAGTCTTCTTCTTGTGCTGTGTAATTTTTCAATTTGGGTAAGTAATGCAGGCCTATACTGTTCTGTATTCATTCTTGAAATTTCATAAATAGTTTGAATTTTACCTATTTACCTATTTTACCTATTTTAATTTTTAACTAAAATCGCAAACGCTAACGCGATAACGCAAGCAACTAGAAACTAAAATTCATTGACAAAGTTTAGGCCGAACAATCCTTAAATGGGTTAAGTTTACGTGGAGCTGCACCAACTTTTAACTCTGCATTCAATAAAAAAATCTATTTATAATGCTAATAGTTTCATGGCATCATGTGCACGTACAATTCGTGGAATCAAAATTCTTGTGCAATGTGACTTGAGGAACGACGCATCGCCGCACTTTTGTACTCAGCGACAACAGCTATCGTCTTCTCTTATATCTAAAATGTACTTAATTAACAATTTAATTGTTAACTTCATTATTATCGTTGCTGTGATTATAATTTTCTTATGAAGATTAAAACGTTGGTCAATTTTTCTTGCTCGACGAACGTCTTCTTGTGACAGCCTTGCACCCCCACACTCCCCCTGGTTAAACCCTTTGCTCCCTACTTAGAGGGCTGAACCCCCCTCCCCTTATCTGAGGGGTTCGTTTTTTAGAGCCCCTGCAAGGCTGTGATAAGCCTTCGTTCTGCCAGCCCCCTTTCCGGCCCCCTTCCTCCTGAACCCCTTCTTTCAAACCCCTTCTTCCATAAACCCCCACCGGCCACCACGTCTCCATATATAACCTTTATATAACGGGTGACTCTTCCCCTTACTTCTTTGAGTTATGCGAACTATTGCTATAGTTCAAATTTTTGCCGTTCAAATTTTCACCGCTTGTGTCTGCGTCCAAAATTAATTGTCCTTTTGGAAGTGTCGAGGTATTTTTAGAGTAGTATTTGGAAGCGATGGTCCAAATACATTTTTATGTTATCTATACCTCATGAATACAAGGTATTATGTTATCTATACCTTATAAATACAGGGTCATATGTTATCAATATCTTATAAAATGTCTTTAAAAATCTATGGCTTTGATTTCACCGTTTGCCATAATTTCGCTTATTATCGCTATTTGCAAGAGAAATTTTCGGCGCCGCATAACGACATTTTTAAAGCACGAAATCCTCGTCTCAACTGAACGAGAAAATTATTCATGTTTCTCGGCAATTTTTGAGCTTTTTGACATCAATTTTTTGAGGAAAAATGACGCGCAGAAATCGAGTTTGAATTGACGTTTAAAACCTCGGTTTAAGCTCAGACCCTCAGGGTCAGATTAATAGATCAATGCATGCAAGACCGCATTAACATTCCGGAGATTAAGGGACGTTTACTCATTAAGAGTAAAAAAATTAGGAGTAAATTTGATGTCATAAGAACAAACCAACTATAACGTCTGACTCATGCCTGTAAACTCATTGGATAACAAATTAAATGGATGATATATTATGATTATAACACTGAATTTACAGTGGGATAACGTCAGGAATAAGATGGCGAAAACTATGTCTAGTGCCCTCACTATCACAGAGTCCCGCACTATCACAGCGCCCCTCACTATCGCAGCGCCCCTCACTATCGCAGCGCCCCTCACTATCGCATCGCCCCTCACTATCACAGCGTCCCTCACTATCACAGCGTCCCTCACTATCGCAGCGCCCCTCACTATCGCAGCGCCCCTCACTATCACAGCACCCCTCACTATCACAGCGCCCCTCAATATCACAGCGCCCTCACTATCACAGCACCCCTCAATATCACAGCGCCCCTCACTATCACAGCGTCCCTCACTATCACAGCGCCCCTCACTATCACAGCGCCCTCACTATCACAGCACCCTTCACTATCACAGCGCCCCTCACTATCACAGCGCCCTTCACTATCACAGCGCCCCTCACTATCACAGCGCCCTCACTATCACAGCACCCTTCACTATCACAGCGCCCTCCCTATCACAGCACCCTTCACTATCACAGCGCCCCTCACTATCACAGCGCCCTCACTATCACAGCACCCTTCACTATCACAGCGTCCCTCACTCTCGCAGCGTCCCTCACTGTCGCAGCTCCCCTCACTATCACAGCGGCCCTCACTATCACAGCACCCCTCACTATCGCAGCACCCCTCACTATCGCAGCGCCCCTCACTATCACAGCGTCCCTCACTATCGCAGCGCCCCTCACTATCACAGCACCCCTCACTATCACAGCACCCCTCACTATCGCAGCGTCCCTCACTATCACAGCGTCACTCACTATCACAGCACCCCTCACTATCGCGACGCTGGCAGCGGCGTCTAGCGTCTTCGTGAGTCCGCATAAATTCCTCAAGACTTCACCAAAAAAACCTCCACCGAATAGGGACACAAAAGCCTCCTTTTTTCCCCTGGTTTTGGTTATTGTTTTATCTTCGGGGAAACACTGCCATGTTGCTTTTTGTATCGCGGGGCTCAGGACGGCGTTTTGTTCGTCCCTGCGGTGACGGGAACGTGTGTTGTCATAGTCCAGCAGCGTTACTGGGTGGTGTACTTGGTGGGAACGATGATCCCATATGATAATACGTGTTATAGTTTATAGTGTGTTGTATTATTGACTATGTACTATCCCAACTATATATATAATATATAGGTTAATAGATATTATATTATAGTGTTGTAATAACTAATGAGAGGCGAATACATTATTATGGATTACGAATCAGACATCGTTGGAACGTCCAGTAAACAATTGCAACACTAAAAATATTTTATGATTGATCTCATAGCGAAAAGTTACTAAACTGCCTTAAGAACTGATAATTGTTAGATTGACGCCACGATTAATTAAATGATTTTGATTACTCACAGAACATCCTCGACTGTGAAGTGAAACCTCCTGATTGTTAATAATATGAATTTGTTATCTCTGACGCCATTTATTTTTTACGCCTTTAAGTAATTTATTTTCTTCTTCATCGTCTCGACTGATTTATTTTGATTTCTATTGAAAATATCATCGACACGGAAATTGAATTGAATTTCGTTGTAGTAATATAAGTTTTTTTAACTCTCAGTCGCAATTTATTTTCTGACGCCTTTACTTACTAGCTTCCAAACGCCTAAAATAAAAAATCTTTAATTTTTCTTCACCAGGCCCACGTTCTCGGAGAGTGAAGAGAAGAGACCGCAACCCTGAAGAGAAGAGGCCCAGGACAGCCTTCTCCTCAGACCAGCTGGCGCGCCTCAAGAAGGAGTTTGAGGACAGCAAGTACCTCACGGAGAAGAGGCGCCAGGACTTGGCCAGGGAGTTGGGACTTAATGAGTCCCAGATCAAAATTTGGTTCCAGAACAAGCGGGCCAAGATTAAGAAGAGCACAGGGCCCAGAAGTGGTCTGGCACAGCATCTAATGGCCCAGGGTCTTTATAATCACTGCACGGTACCTGTAGACGAAGATGAATCGTATCTCAGCTAATATTGTTTTTGATATTATAAAGTAATAGTTATATAGCGTAAATATTTTATGGTATGATATGCAAGGTCAAAAAATTGATCTGACATGTGGAGCAACCAGCAGCAAATTCAAATTTAGGAATGAATTTCTACATTGGTATAGATTATCATCAGTTTTCAACGATTTCAAAATAGCCCTTTAAATTTTGTCTTCTCCAGAAAAATGTAGCCAAAGAATCAGTTTTCTTATCAGATTGGATTTAGTTTTTGCTCAAGAAGATTTTGGGTAAAATTGCAGTTTTAGCAAAGACCGCAATTAATGCTCTACAGCAACCTGTTTAATACTCATAAAATAATTACTCAGTAATTAAACTGTGAAATCGAATTTTATTAATTCAAAATACATAAGTGATCGCGGCGATGACTAAATTCGTGTATTATACCGACATGGTTCAGGTTTTTATCATGAAGCTTGATTGTGTAAAAACTGTGACATAAGCAACCTCCAGAGAACAGAAACATGTGAACGTCCCTGATCGGCAGGTCTGTGTTATGATTCCAATAAATGAATGCATATTTTTTCCTCTCTATGAAAACCATATTTCTTGTCTTGTGATCCTTAAATAGCATGATTGTAAGCATGACGTTTGTCTCGGGACAAAATTTGTTAAAAAAAACTCTTGTGATAATCAGGATGAACAGTGGACGACGGTGTGGCTCGAGCGACCTTATATTGTGTTCAATTATATAGAGCGCTTCATTAGCACACTTGTGATCATCTTTGTACATCTTCTTCAGACTTGGTCTGATCCATCTCAAACATGAATTAATATTCTGGGTATGTTTTCGTAAAATAGTAAATCTGAACCGGTAAATAATATCCTGAACATGGTTAAGTGATAAATTACATCTCAATCATGTACGTAATAATATTTCTAAGCATTTTTTCGATAGGTCACATCTGAATATAAGATTAACATTCTGAACATGTGTTTATGATGATCGTGTGTGTATACATGCACTATCATTATTCATGACAAGAAATAATGTATAAGTTGCGTGTGAAATTGACGTATGAATTATGCAGATATACAGATGTGTATTCCTTACAAGTGTTCACAGACTCATTAAGCGTCAAAATAAGCTACCGGTAATTCCGTCAATTCTGTACACATGCCTGGTAAACATTTTTTCCTGGTCTAATCGAGCGACTGGTAAAGCCGAACATGTAATCATCCTTTCATGCGTAAGTGTTCGTCAGCACAAAGAAAATCGAACGATAGCCACTTTATTTGAACTACGCCGAGATTTTGTTCTCATGTTTCGCCCAACGCTCAAAATTGCAATTTTACTCGAGGTTTGTTAATGTTTGTTTCAAAGATGCCCAGAATGAATAAATGTATATATTTAAATACATTATTTATACGAGGAATGTGGAAACATTTTACACAGAATTATGTGTACAGTTACTGTTTGTGACTTTCATTGACAAGTTGAAGCAGTAAATATTGTAATGTAGATGTAGTTCGACTGTGTCATTTGAAATTTAGTAATTTAAGGAATAACATTCAAATGTAATTTAGCTAAACGAGCTGCTATTTATTTCAAAAAACTCAACATATTCGCTTGAAGACTATGAACTGTAATTTTTAGTCTAGATTTTCACCTCAAGATATTCATCAGAATGATCAACATGTATAGCTTAGCCTTTAAATTATTGTCTAAAATAATGAATAGTTTATAAAACAGTGAAGAAATATAATATATAAGAACATGCAATTAATGCGGGTGTGTAATATATGTGTATGTATGTGTAAAAAATGTTAGTAATAAACTCATCGCTCGTTATAATATAGGCCTATGGAATCCCTACGTCGAATAAACTTTGTTACGGATAACTTCTTGCTTGATTTCAAACCCTTAATTCATCTGAGTTCTCGGGACTTATTGCACTATTCAGCCTAGCTTCATAAGGTTGCTCAGCACAATATCGAAAAAAATTTTCACGGTTAAAGAGTGCAGTCAAACTGATTTTTAGATTTGATGAGCGAGAGTTTCGACTTTTTAGCGCTTTTTCTCATTTATGGAAAAAATGCACTATTGTGCTCGCCATGTCCGTCTGTCCGTCCGTCCGTAACTTCACGTTTTCGTGGACGAGAAAATGCGCTCTCTGTCACTCACTGCAGTGAGTACTGAGTTATATTTTGTTATTTACCCTCCTCGTTTTGGGGGTTACAACTGCCGGTGGTGAAAACCCCCTCGACCCCAGAGCTTTTTTGTAAATTCCGAATAATTAACGTAATCATCATGGCAATCAAAAATATTAAAATATCATATTCACCAGCATCGTCATGCACGTGAGATGCAAAAGGAGGCAGCAGAGCTGGGAGGACATATGGAATCGCTTCTTTCCAGTACTTATTCCGAGGAGCGTCCGAAAATCTATTATTAGAAAATTTCAGCTGAAAAAAGCTTCGAAAACGAATCTTGAAGAAGAGGTCAGCGTTTACTATAGAAGAAAAAACGGGCTTCCATTGTTATCAATTTGCGCTCTTAATTATTATTCGATTATTCAGTAACATGTAGTGATGAGTTTAAATTAAAATCACAGAAATTATTTTTATAAAGTAAAATACAAAAATACACAAGCACTACAACTGCAGGCAGGATACGATCTCGAGAGCTTAGTTTGTACAGGCGATCAGGCGGTAAGTCACGGCTGTGTTAGTCTATTTTAATATTAAGCAGAAATTGCAGCATAAACGCCTTAATCTAAAGCGTCTTGAAACAAACGTCCCGAATTAAATTGTAATTTTGGCTGAGTAATTATAGCGTAAGAGGCTTGCACGTAACGCCGTTAGTTTACGGTGACAGCGATTGCCCATGCAATAGCTTGCCCGCGACTGCTCCAGACGCTGCTTCTTTGAAAATTATGGACGCTTTATAGGCGGCCAGAATATGGTCGATCGCTGGCCACCCATAACAGTTCTTCACTTTAATTCATTTACTAAATTCTCTTACGAGTGATTGGAATATTGTGGGTGAAATGGTGAGCTGTTCAGCGGCCAGCGATAGCACTTTTTGCAAGGGACCAGTGCTTCAAATGAGTAAAATTCCGGTCGCATGAAATCTGTGAATTTCATGCCGTTTGGGCTTTAGTTATTATTTTAACAATAAAAAGGATTTCTATTCCTCACAATTTCCAAACTATACTCAAATTATAATTCAAAATGTCGAGGAAAAATACATCTTTATCTTATATAAACTGCGTTCGTTGACCGCGAAACAGCATAGTGCGTCGTAGGAAGATTCACCTGAAAACCCAAACATATTCGAATAACCAATACACGGAACTACTTATATTGATCAAAGCATGAAACTTCATAAGATATACCGGTTGCATAATATGCCTTTTTGGCCGTTACATAGGCCAGCGATTTTTTTACAATTTACATATCATGGATCAATAATTATTAATCAATTAAAGGACTATTAATGTTTGAAGGTGACTGAATCAGATTTAGTTCGCTATAACCACAATCAGTTCCATTGCATTTCTATTGAGGTATAAAAAATAATTCTGATCAAATTACATGCCAGTTTGCTTTGCATCTCCTGTGCCATTGCTAATGCGTTCGTTCGTTCACGATGGTTGAGTAGCGACTATAAAAACGTACTTGACGTTTGACGTGATTGAGACGGCCAAGAGAAGCGGCCATTATGGCGTCTGTAAAGAGACGTCTGAAAGGCTGCCATTACAGCAAGTAATAGCCGAGGGCTCGATGTCATTTTGTGTGTCATTTTGACACAGCAAGAGTGTGTCATTTTGACACGTCCGATGGCATGACACAGCACGAGTACAGGGCGTCAACTTACGCTTGCTTGTTTCGGCGGCTGAAGCGACACGAAGGCTTAGTGAACGGAATGAGTAAATGTGACGCGCGAGTATAAGACTTTAACGCGCACCGACAGTGGCTGATTGTGGTGGCGTTGATGAAATTGGCAGTTCAAAGTTAAGTGGTAGTTCAAACTCTCAGGTAACCTGATAGTTGAAGTATAAACTCTACGGTAACCTGATAGTTGAAGTATAAACTCTCAGGTAACCTTAGAGTTGGATAAATGAGGGTGAACATTTATTTTCAAAACATTGCGATAATTTAATAGAATCGTGTTAATCAATTGATGACAAAATTACAAAGACCTTCTTTTAATGCTTCAATTAATATCCTTTTGTGATAGTTTTAATTAAAGCAATTTAAAAGACACAGCGGTAGAAAAACAATGTTTATATTAATCGGCTCTGTGCAAAATCGAGAAGAATTCTGCAGATCTTTAATGCAGGGCACATAGGAAATTGGCTGGCCCTGTTGCGCCTCTATCAGTAAATTTCTAGCTACAAAAATGGTGGCAAATATGACTCATGGCCATAAATGTGTCATTTCTATACATTTTAAATGAATTAAATCTAAAAATTTGGCCGTTTAGAATTTTTGAGACAATTTGCCGGCAACATACTGGGACCCGTTAGCAGGGAGTTCCGTTTTGTCATAACCTTTCCACGTTGCCTAAAAGATTATACGCTAATTTAACGCGCAAATAACGTTTGTGCACCGCGTAGGAAGTTGATGTAAAGAGCGGAAGAGATTGCCTGCTGATCCTCTTGATTAAAGCGCTCTTAAATGGGCCTCTTAGCCGCCAGCAGATGAAGCGCCCTTGACGAGCCGCCCGCTTCTGGATTGCATGCAAATTCCGTCCAAGAGCTTCCGGAAAACTCAAATTACTTGAAAAAAAAATCCGGTGAGTAATCCTATGTTATACGGAGGGTAACTCTGGTAACCAGGCTTTTAGATTGTTTATTATTGAAGATGGTTTAAATATTAATGTTAATGTAATCCAACGTAATCTGAACTCTATTGTTATATAAAAGAATTCACGTAGGTTACCTATCTCTCAAAGGTAATGAGTAATGTTCAGAAGGCTCAGAAGTTCCAGACATTCCCGTGAGTTACAACCCCGGTTCCCAGCGAGTAGGAATTACGTAGGATGGCACAAAGCATCCTAAGCTGTCGGCAGATTTACAAACGACCTCGGCTTAACTGCAGGAATGAATCATCATGTGTAGCTCATGCCTCACCACACAGATGAACCCTCGACAAGAGGCTTCTTTAGTCCCACAAAACACAGCAACAAATAAATAGCTCCTAGCCCTCATATACAGAAGGTGTCTGCCCTCCATCTTTTCCCTCACAAGCTCTAGAAGTTATGCTCCCTCCCTCTCTAGCAAATCTTGCCGCAGGACATATTGAAAATTGCTAGCCTGACTAACTTCAGTCCTTAGATTTATCATCCATTTTTCGTCCACTTATGAATGAACTATCGAGGTGGTAAATAATTCATCACTATGCATCAATGAATTGGTACCTATATAAGTACGCGAGAATTTAATGACGAAACGAATCTAGCGGCCGCAGTTTGACATCTCTCGTTGTGAGGATCGTCAGTTGCAGCCATATGAATTTATTTCCAAGATTTGTTTTACAAAGAAGTTCTGACATCAGGTTTTCAATCGCTTTAACATCGCAAACGGGTTAAGTTCAATTTTATATCCGTAATTTAGATATTGCAATCGGTTAACTTGTTATTGAACGTACTTTATTTCATCTCAGATATCAAGTGTTCAGTGTTCGACTTTCTGCTTTGAAGGCAAACGCAGGAAGCCGTCGACCATTTTAAGCGTGAGCGTGCATACATTATATGCGTGAGCGTGCGTGCGTTATAGGCGTGAGCGTGCGTGCGTGAGTGATAAGCAATTATACGCGTGGTTATCACGCAGCGTTCGCGTGACTGTGCGTGACAAGAAGCCTTATACCCACGATAACAAGTCTATCGCTGCCACGACCCTCGAACACATTGTCTTCAACCTCGCATAATTATTATCGATCAAACATACGCCGAAGAAATATGATTTCAACTAATAATTATTAATATTTGATATAATTATAGAACAAACCTACGCTAAAAAGAATTCAAATCGCACCGACTTGAAGGGCCGATATATAACAAGCGACCGCTACTTTTCATAGTCCGTGGTCGTTTATGGGTGGCCGGGGAGTGGCCGATGGTCAGCCCATGCACGCATGTCATTAAAATTTTATTTTTTATTCTTGATTAAGCGACATTAAAACTTGAGAAGCTTGAATTGAATGAACCCTAAATTATTAAATATAATATCGAGCAAAGTACTGCTTAAAGAATACTTTATATTATATCTCTTTATTTGATAACAAGCAATGATTCACAAAATCTTGTCTTTTATTATTACTTGTCCTTTATAATTACTAAAAATTTTATTAATTCTTTGTTCTCGTTGATAACTTTAGTGTTCATATTGAAGCTTAATAAATACACTAGTGGTTTTTAAAAGATTCGGTTTGAAAATTTCAAGGTTTAACTCGATGAAAATAACTTGAAAATATAAGTTTAGGTTTAGCACTAGACTCGCATAACGACGCGAAGCTTTATTACTGACAATTAAATGGGCACAGCTGATTATTTAAACGACCTTTGCTTGCCTGCAGTTTTTAATTTGTTAAAAAATCTTGGCACGCCCTTCAGCAGCTCCCGGAATGTGCCCTTTAAATAACGAATAATTTTGCGGAAATTTTGGATCAAAACATAAGCTTATACATCTAAAGTAAATTTTGATGAATATATTTTCGATATTTTTCAGCGAATTAGTACCGACGCTAGCTAAAGTAGTGAGGCATGGAGATCAAGTGTTGATTAACATTGCAGCATCAGAAGGCTATTAGAGAAATTAATTAGATTAAATTAGCTAAAAGATTTGACACAAATAAGAGTAGTCATATTTTGCTGTGAGGTAACAAGGTTA